GCAACTTTTTTTAATTTTTTTTTTTTTTTAAGTTCTGGGGTACATGTGCAGATCTTGCAGGATTGTTAGATAGGTATACACATGCCATGGTGGTTTGCTGCCTCCATCACCCCCATCACCTTCATTAGGTATTTCTCCTAGTGTTATCCCTCCCCAATCTCCCCACCCCTCAACAGCCCCCAGGGGTGTGATGTTCCCCTCTGTGTCCATGTGTTCTCATTGTTCAACACCCACTTATGAGTGAGGGCATGCGCTAACCAGCAAATTTTCTTTGATTAAATGCCAAAAGCCCTTACCTAAGTGGGAAAAATAAATTCCAGACTTAGGACAAAGTTAATAACCTCTCTGAGTCTTGGTCTCCTTGTGGGCAAAGTAATGTGGCTACTTTTAATTATCTTGAAATATATACCTAAGATGACATGTGTAAATATTTAACACATTTGGGTGGCCTTCAGCATCTTTTCTTTTTCCTTAATACTCAATCAGCTAATCAGCAACTAAAACTACACTTCTAAATGTTTTTATAGATTTTTCCCAAGGATAAATGCAAAAAGCAATTATAACTCTTGAGTATTTACTAAACATTTAAACTGTTTTAGGCAGAAAAAGAAAGTTATCAATGCATATCACTTGTCACATAGGTATTTGCTAAGAACCAACTTGTATCTGGCACAGTGCTGGATAAAGGAAGAAGGAGAGGTCCCAGATATGCATAATTCCTTCTCATTATCCTCAAGTCATTCCAATGGTTTAAGAAAAGACACCTACCCAGTTTTAAGATGAAATGTCTTAAGTACCTTAAGAGAGGCACAAAGTGCTTTGTCACTTAGGAAAAGAGCAATTACTTCTGGCTAAGAGAGATGAAGGAAGCTTTGGTGACTCTGACACTTAAGCTGTGAATAGAAGAATGGGAAGAATTTGAACGAATGGAAATGACTTAGTTGTTGAGGGAACAATGAAAGCAGGATGCAAAGGTGAGAAAAAGCCATGTACAAAGAATGTAAGTCATTTGGATGGGTCATTGAAGACGTGGAGTGAGGTGAAGGAAAAGATACTTAATCAGTAATCACATAGTATTTTAATTTTTATAGCAACAATGTTATTAGGTGTGGTATTATTCATACTTTTAAGAGATGAAAAAATTGACGTGCAGGGGGTTAAGTGACTTATCCAAGGATAGTCAGCTAATTAAACCAGAGTACTATGAATACAACAACAGATCTGGGTCTGAAAAGGTAAGATAGACAAGTAAACTAGGTTTAGAACAGGGGCAGATTGGATTGCCAATCCAAAACCATATGATTTGAATCCTATGATATAGCCCAGGAACTGGCAAACTACAGCCTATGAGCCACCTCTGGCACACTAACGGTGTTTGTCAATACAATTTATTAGAATACAGCATTGCCTACTTATTGGTTTATTTTTCTGATGGCTGCTTTCATACTGCAACAGGAGAATTAATTTATTGTCCAATGAACAAATGTTAAATTTATTATAACCAACATGCACATGTGCACAGGGAAATGGGATTACTAAATGTGTTTTAAACAAATTGTATAACATTAGCTAAGTCAAGAGCTAAGCTACTCAGCCACTTACAGATGCCAACAAGTATGTGATTAATATTAAGCAAGAGATTTTTATTTGAAGCATGGAAGAAAAAGCATATTTTTAAATGTCTGAGTTGGTAGATCTTTAAGTATTTAATGTTTTGAAGAAATTTTGAAAATAAAAATACCAAGGATAATGTATCACACCCATGTTCCCACTACCTAGAATTATAACTTAACATTCATCACATATTCTTTAAGATTTTAAATTTAAAAATGAAACATTACAATGAAATTCTACATGGCATGTTATTGCCAGTGTCATTCTCTTCCCAGGTCTTTCTAGCAATAACCTCTATGATGAAATTGAGTATCTTTCTAGTCTATTTTGAATACTTTTATGTGTGTTTCCATATATAAACACAGATAGTTGTTTGTATGGGTTCAGTTTAAAATTATATGCACAATGTTGCATACTGCATGCAAGTAACAATAGCAGCTCACATTTATTCAGCTATTACCACCTGCCTGAAGCTACACTGCTGTTGCAGGACGCCACCACTTACCCAAAGCTAGCCTCTGGGTCAGGGGTTTCCTCACTATAGTCCCTTCTGTGGTTGGCAGAAAGATGTTACAGGAAAGGGGTCCCAATCCAGACCCCGAGAGAGGATTCTTGGATCTCACACAAGAAAGAATTCAGGACAAGTCTGTGGAGTACAGTGAAAGCAGGTTTATTAGGAAAGTAAAATTAAAAAATGTCTACTCCATAGGCAGAGAAGCGTCAAGAGCTGCTGGCTGTCCACTTTTATGGTTTTTTGAAGATACGCTAAGGGGTAGATTATTCATGCCTCCTCTTTTTAAGACCATACAGGATGACTTTCTCATGTTGCCATGGCATTTGTAAACTGTATGTTTACAAATATAGTAAACATACAGTTTACAAATGTAGCAGTGAGGACGACCAGAGGTCACTACATGGCCATCTTGGTTTTGGTGAGTTTTGGTTGGCTTTTTACTGTAACCTGTTTTATCGGCAAGGTCTTTATAACCTGTGTCTTGTGCTGACCTCCTATCTCTTATCCTGTGACTTACAATGCCTTAGCCATCTGGGAATGCAGCCCAGTAGGTTTCGGCCTCATTTTACCCAGCTTCTATTCAAGGTGGAGTTGCTTTGCGCCTCTGACACTGTCTTATCCTCATTGATCCTATGTATCATGCATGTTTACTGTCACGTTTCTTAGGAAATAAGGCACACAGACAGGTCTGTTGTGCAGGGTCACACAGCTATTAAGTGATAGGGTTAAGAATTCTGCAATCAGGCTTTGGATCCTGAGCTCTTGACCATCATCATAGATGGCCTCTTCACTGTATCACTGCAGAATTCTTCACTCTCTCAGTATCATGCTTCTGATATCTGTGATTGTTGAATTTGTGGATCTAGTTCATTCCTTCTCACCATTATACCCTATTCTGTGGAATGAATACAGTACATAAGCAGCATTGCACGTTGCATGGTGGTTAAGACCTATAAAATTGGAGTAGGAGGCATTCTTCTCTCAGACTTGTTGTAAAAATTAAGTTTAATTCAAATGCAGTAAGTAGAGCAGCATCTGGTACAGATTAAGTACCCAATAAATGTTATTTGCTATTGTCATATATCTGTTATTCTATTGAACACATTCATTAGGTTGTTTGCAGTTTTTCCTCAATTGCGTTTTATTGCCACAGTGAAAACTCTGTCAATTTATAATTCTTTTGGGTATCTCCCTACAAGAAGAATTGATGGCTCGTAGAGTGTGTGCGCTTTCGGTTTTACCTGATGTTGCCAAAGCCAGCTACACCAATTTATTCTCCCTAGTGCACTGTGTGGCACTTCCTATTCCCCGACATCCTCACAGTTAATATTTTCTGATTATTTACATTTGCCAACCTTATGGGTAAATTCAACCTTCATGTTGAATTAATGAATTTTTAATAAGTTTTACTGAGACACTATTTACATATTCTAAAACTCACCCTTTTAAAGTGTACAATTCAGTACACATTAGTATCACTCAGTACACAGTGGTTTTTATTATGTTCACAAGGATGTACAACCATTATTTCAATTTGATTTTGAAGAAAATCTTACCAGTTAGCAGTCACTCCCCATTTTCCCCAGCATGGGGAGACCCATGGTTTTGGTAATCTGCTTTCTATATGGATTTGCATATTTTGAACATTTCATATAAATGGGGTCATGTGTTTTCCGATTGGCTCCTTTCACTTAGTGTTTTTGAGGTCTATGTTGTAGCATGTATCAGCAAATTCATTCCTTTTGATGGCTCAGCTATGTTGTATGGATACACCACATTTTGTTTATCCATCAGGTGATGGAAATTTGGTTGCTTCTACTCTTGACTATTATAAATAATGGTTAAATAATGGCTCTGTAAACATGCTTTTTTTATATAGACATGTTTTCAATTTTTTATAGACATGTTTTCAATTTTCTTAGTTATACATATGTATCTAGCAGTGGACTTGCTGGGTCATATGGTAATTCTGTGCTTAACATTTTGGAAAACTGCCAAACTATGTTCCAAAGCAACTGTAACTCTACAATCACATTAACAATGTATGAGGGTTCCAATGTCTTCACATCTTCATCTCTAGTACTTGTTATTGTCTGTCTTTCTGATTCCAACCATCCCAGTGGATGTGAAGTAGCTTTCCATTGTGGTTTTGATTTGCATTTCTTGATGATTAATGATGTTGAGCATATTTTTATGTGCTTACTGACCATGTGTATGTCAGCTTTGGAGAAATGTCTATTAAAATCCTTTGTCCATTTTTAGAGGAGGGGGTATTTGCCTTATTTGAGTTTTGAGGAGTTCTTTGTGTTTTGGACACAAGTCTCCATCAGATATATGATATATAAATATTTTTCCCATTCTGGTTGTGGAGGTTACAGTAAGCCGAGATCACGCCACTGCACTCGTCTGAGCAACAGAAGGAGACTTTGTCTCAAAAAATAAACATTTTGCCCATTCTTTAGGATATCACATCTTAATTGATGTGAATTGGTGAATTTTAATATTTGTGCTTTCTCATTTCCTCAGAACTTCATTTTTCAAAATCATCTCAATATTACCTGCTGAGTGGATCACAAGCCAGAGTACATTGAAGTAAACAATGCTCTGGGTACACAGATTCCATCTGTCAGAAACTATCACATTGTTCACAAAAACAGTCTTCAGCTAGTGAAGAAAATTAAGTTTTGATAAAGCTGAGACGCCTTCACACCTAATTAGGGTTTGAATTTAATAACAAGTCCGGAAAAAACATTTCAGTATTTTCAAATCACTGATAGATTAATTCAAAAGCATTTGAGTTTATGTTTAACCTGCCTTACTTTTTCCTTCTTTCCTTTTCCCTCTTCCTGCCTTTTCCCTATTTCTATTTCAGATTGAAAATGGCTCAGGAGTCAGTCAGCAAGTTGACGTCAGAGAAGAAAGTGGAGACAAAGAAAATCAATCCCACTGCTAGCCTGGTGAGACATTTTTCAGCATAACCTAATGATTTTCATTAAAATTGAAGTGCGTCCAGGAGTGTGTCTGAATTCAAGGGCTAAAATTCAAAGCTGAAATGTAATATCCAGATTCTCATTTCCCATCCCAGAGTTGCAGGTGGGGGGGGGGGAAGGTGTGGGTCGAGGTGCAAAACATAGCTTTATGTTTTTCCTGTAAATTCCACATAGATCATTTCTGATTAGCCACGTTTAGCCACTTGCCATTTCACGTCCTTTCATACTCTACCCACAACACAGTCGCCCTTATTGCAAAGGATGTTTCTCTCAGAATGTTTAATTACATTCATTCTCTTCAGTTCCTTTTCCCCATTAAGGAAAAAGGCAGGGATTCTATTTTGTTAGTTGGGAAATTTGAAGTGCACAAAGATACAGCCTACCTAGGGTCACTTGGTAAGTGGGTAACAAAAACCAGGACCAGATTTTGGGCCTCCTAACATCTCTTCCTGTGCTGGAAACCAGCAGTCTCCCCAGTCTTCTAGATTTGAGATTGCACTGTCCTCCAAAGTCCAGTTTTCAATAGAGATCACAATGAATCTCCACCTAGGTGATACAGACAATAGTCAGAAGAGCTGCATGGTTAGGATCCCAGGATGTTGAGAAGGAAATGTCCTGGGTTCAGATCACAGCTCTGCCACTTAAGTAGTTATAAAACCTTAGTAAAGTTACCTTGTTTCTTTCTCTTCCATGAAAAGAAGTATTACCTTTTCCTTGGGGTTATTTTGAGAAAAGTGAGAAAAGACTTGTAAAATGCCTTAAGAGCTTAGTAAGTATTAGTTGTTTTTCTTGTCGCTGTGAATTTCAGCTGCTTTGGTTGACCCTGCAATGGGGAATGGCAGTGAGTAGGAAGCGGAAGTATCACCCCTCCCCTCTAGGAATTTTCAAACGCTACCCTCTCTGGCCTGATGTCCCACAACTACTTATTTAGATATGATTATCCTTTTTGCTGGATGCTTCAAATCCTTTGAAAATGTAGATGGGATCCAAATTGTAAAGTGAGATTATTTCTGTGGATTGACCATGGTGTTTCTCATTACCACCCCATGAGCAGCTAAATGAATGTTTCATGAGGTTGATGAATGAGAAATGGAGAAGTCAGGGCCATAGAGTTGGTCAGGAAAAGCCATTGTTGAGGACATGGCCCCTGTTCCCATTTGATGGTATATTTGTGACATGCATTTGTATGATTTTCATTGGCAGCCAGCTGAACCCCGATTTTTATCTTCCTTCATCAGCCTCTACCTCCTTCCTTCAGACCTTTTATTTGGGCCTCTATCCAGATTTTTACAGCCAAGCCTGTCCTCCAAGGCAGGGAGAATGGGGTCACCCATGTAAACCAAAGGGAAACGGTGGGTTTACGACCTCCCCTGTGAGCAAGCTCCCAGTTGTGATCCTGAGCGTGTTGGAGTTGATTCTTTTATTGTCTGTTAGTGTGGGTGGGTGGAAACTAGGGAAGAGCTTGTAAATGGATTTCTGATTCAATTTTCCAAGTCAGGGACGGGGTCCAAATTTAGGATGAGTGTCAAAAAATTATCAACTTAAGCTTATGTCTAGGCCAACTTAGTAATTCACTGCAACATCACATCTCATAGCTCACAAGCAGCTAAGGATCCATTCTCAAAGGCTTCTCTCTGCATCTGCTCATTCCAAAAGAGTGTGTCCTTCTCCTTTTTAGCCTTCTAATTGTCCTCCCCTAAGAGCAGGCACACCCATCCTTACCATACTCATGTGTTTACTTCTCTGGTGTCACAGATACTGTTAGGGTCTGTGTTTCTGTGTGGTGTGCCCCTATTTTTACATCTTCCCAGCAGATGCCTATGTCCCTCCCTTTAGAAGGCTGTCCATGAGGAGGAAGCTCAGAGAATGAAGGGCAGAACATCCATGGCAAATCGGGAACTTCTGTCATTCTGTAGAGACTAAATCTGGTCATCTCCCATTTTGCATGGCTTTTGTTGAGTTCTGCCAAGTTTATTATTTGCAAATACATTCAACTTGGAAACAGTTTTTTTTCATATCTAGACTCCTTAAAAGCTATTTCTTGATCATTCCCTAATTCCATCAGTGGGCCAAGGGTAGGGTGGAAGGAGTCCTGGAGTAACACTGTAAAGTTAGGTCTTTGTCACAAAGGAGGAAAACAGAAAAGACCACCCTGGCTTGGTAAAGGCCCTTGTTTTAGATGGATGTAGTTGGTAGATTGGCTGGTTGTTGATTTCTTGTTTGTCTTCTGGGGAGTAAGGGTAATAGGTAGGGAGGGGCAGATAACTGAGGGCTTAGGGAAAGAACAGTATTTCTAGGCTGTTTGGCATAATTGCACTCAGCATTCTAGACCAAAATTTAACAAATTTATCAAAACTTAAGAAATGACACATTTTTTTCCCCATTAACAGAAAGAAAGACTGCGTCAGAAGGAAGCCAGTGTGAACACCAACTAAGATGAAGACACACGGAAATGATGGCACTCGCCATGGAGAACCTTGTACACATGCTCTTTCTGACCCCAGGGCTGCAGGACGTTCTTGAGAGATGTTACTAAATGTTTTTTTGCTCATCTCTGAGGTCATCTGCAGAGAGCCCCATGCCTTCTTTAAGAAGTCCCTTATTAAGCCACAGGAACAATGGGAAACTATTTAAGGGAACACTGCAGAAATATTTGATTATTATTTCTTATTGAAGCCCAAAGTCCACTCTAAGACCAGAAGAAATACCAAAATTTTCTGAAACTTTTTTTAAAAGCTGAAATTTCCAGCTTTATAACCAAAGCTTGATATGTGTCACATTTTCACAGAAGAGAGAAACGATCATTTAGGACAGTTGCCTTGGGAAGAGTTCAAGTCTTTGTCTTTACACCCTGCTGTTTTGATTATTGGTCTTAGTTTTGATCCTATTGCAGCAAAATCCTGCAGCATCTTACTCTCCAATAATGTTGCAACTTACCAAAACTATTTTTGGAGGGGTCTAAGAATATGTATTTTCCAGACTAGAAAAATGATTTTGTTATTCATGTAATGGAAAGGAGAAAAAAAACAGAATTGTACCTGGGTAGAGAAAGGGAGATAAACAGCCATAAACTTCATCCTGGAGAACAAGTTATCATGCAAGGACTAGACATCTGTTATTAAGTGAGTCCCATTCTTGTTTCTGTATCAGTCCTTCATGGTTTTGTGGGCCAGCAGAGATTCTGCACCCTAACTCTCAAGAGAAACTAATACCTGAGCAAGCACAGCCTTAGGGTCAGAGAACCTGCTTGGACAAGGGACCCAGTGGCCAGAGCACCTTTCACATTTTGGATCATTCGTAAATGGGCAATGTTGTGTGGACATGCCGCCGAGTTCTACGTCGTGTGCTGTGACTGTGCAGCTGGACCTCCCCCACCATCCCCAGGAGGCAGTTTCCAGACAGGAGAGCAAATGCAACTCACAGCCTCCACTCATGACCCTGACAAGGTGTGTGAAGTAGGATGAAGCAGGACTGTTTAATGTCAAAAAAACTTAAGGGCAGAAAAAAAGTTTCTTACATCAAAATGAAAAGATTACATTAATATGAAACTCCAAGTGGATTATTATTCATAGGCAGCTTTTGTGACCCTGGCTCTTGAGTCACATGGGGAAACCACCTTGGACCTCTCTGACGATGTTGTCCTTAAGCCACCTCTCTGAATTTATCTTGTGAGGAGTGAAGATAGGACTGGATATGAATTGAGAATATGATCAAAGACTCATTTTTAGGCCTTGAAGGAGAGGCCCGAGCTTTTTCCTCCAATTGGTAGAGGACTGTCCAGAGATGAGCAAGCATCTTAAATTCCTTCCTGATCCAGCCACCACATGTGGCCTGCCCCTTCCTCCACCGTCTTTCCAGAACCCTTGGACTTGCCAGGTGCCTGAGCATCTTCCCAGGATATGCCTGCCAGCCAGCAGCCCCTCAGGAGTGCTCCTGCAATAGATGCAGTAACAAAAGCAGCACCATATCCTCATCTAATGTCAGCCTCCGGAATGAAGTGCAGTCAGGATCAAGTCATACAAGCCATATTCATACAGGTGCTAACCACCTTTTCTACTGGTTCAACTGAAAGGAATATGGTAATATAATTGGATTTTTTAAATTCAAAATAAAGGAATGAGACAAGCAAAATAGCAAAGCTGAGAAGGAACATGCATGACTAAAAAGGCTTGAAGTTGCTTGTGAGCAAGCTGCTTTTTATACGCTTTCTTAGTTTTCTTGATTTTCACTTAACTCAAGACACCCAAAAGAACTAATTAAAAACTAATTCCACTCATAGCCGTCCCCGTGCTCCTTCTAGTGTTATGCACAAAAAAAGTGCCCGTTTTACCCATGCCATAGAAATCAGCTCTGAGTTCTGTGGTGCCCTGGTAGGCTGCTAAGAGCAGCAGGTGGTTTGCAGTGGAGTCACAGTAGCCCACTTCGGTCTCCAAATAGGATGCTCATGAGAAATCACTAAAGGTAAGCAAGGTTGTCACTGTGGCCACGTAACTCTTCCAGGGCCAGTGCTGAAGAATAATGAGTGAAAACACTTAATTGGAGCTCATCCTAGTCAACAGACTAAAACTTGGCAGTAAAATGTCTGTTTCTACAAAGCAAGATTTGCCTGCCTCGGTTAGGGAAACCTAGTGGTTTTGTCACACTAGTCAATGTATTAATGTTAGTGTTTTAAGACATGACAAAATCTTCATTATTCTCACCTAATTTGAACCCTGGGATGCCCCCTCCCAAGTCCACCAGTGTACCACATTGTTGACACAGCCTTCATTTTTAACTCAAGTTGATGCTCAGTAAAGGTCAATGATGGTTTGTTCAAGGAATTTCATCTACAATAACCTGGAGTCCTTGAAAATGATCCCTGTAAAATGCTGTTGAGCTTGTGTTCAGTGCAACAGGAGTGTCTAAACCTTCCCTGGAGAAGAGGTGATCAGGAGGCCATTTGGCAGCTTGAGCACATCCAGCCAGCAGGCTTTAAGTGGCTGTTGTAGGCATAGCCCTCCCTCAACTACAAAGCAGAGTAGCCAGTATTGCTATGCTGTGTCTAACCAGACACTCACACCTGACTTACTAGTAACTGAGAACCCTTAATCTACAAACAAGTTTTTCTCTTCCTAGACAAAATTCACTAAGTCTAAGGACACAATGTGACAGTTCAGATTCTTGCATTAGAAATTCACAATAAGTGTCAGAGCACACAATATCATAAGTTCCATAAATTACACAAAATATATCATAAAATATACTATAGACATGTTAGGTAAAAAGCATCAGGCCCATCAAGTGTCAAAAACCAGGTTATGGCTCTTACCTCAAGAAGCGGCAGCTTATGGGGAAAAAGGAATAAGAAAAATTGTGGCCAAGCAGAAGTGGATGTATATGACGGCAGTGGAGGCCCAGAGGTCTCAGGTGATTGCCCTACTGCCCAACAATTGCCTTTTGAATCCTTATGCTGATGATGGTGTCTTTCTACACACTCACTGCAACTACTCAGGAATTATGGAGAAAGATTTTCTGACATCTGAGAAGTAGAATAAGGAAACCCAGTGGTGCTATTATACTCAGATTGCCAGTATGGTTGAGAAATTGAGTATCAGAGGGCATGCTGGTCTCCCCTCCCATCTATCACGGTCAGAAGAAGCTGCAAACCTTCTTGGCCTCCTTCAGGTACACCTCTTGTTTTCTTAAGTACCACAGAGAATGGTGTTTCCTAAATGAATAGTTCATATACGGCTGGTAAAGAAAATGGAAAAACTGAAGGAAGGAATGTAACATGTTTGTAGAAATAACCCCTCTGGTAAGACAAGTCTTTTTTTCCCTAAGGGCCACAGTGAGATGTAGCAGAAGAAATATGTGTATTTGGGGCAAAGATTTACCTGTTGGCCTGGGATTGCATATTCCCTCTACATGATGCTGTCTGCAACAGAGGAATTTTCTTTTTAATTATATTTTTCCTTTCTTGAAAGTTATGTATCCTCATTTCTATTTCTATTTCTGCTTCTCCCTTGGCCACTTCATTGATGCAGATCACACAACAGCACAGCAAACTGCACTAAGTCAGTGTGTGACGGGGAATTAGCAATGCACACCTGCAGGCCCTTTTTCCCAGGAACCAGGTTCTAACATTGACAGGGGAAGCTGTTCATTCCCTGACATACTAAATTGGTCAGTTTTGTAGTACTCACCTCTGCCCACAAAAACAAAGAATCAATTTGGAGCTTTATATGGCAAAGAGAAGGAATACCTCCGAAAATAGCCTTCCTCCCTCTCCCCTCCCATATATCTGATCCAAATATCAAATATCTGATTTTATAAAGTAGTTTAAGCTGCCTTTTTAAATTGCTGTCAAGAAGCATCAGGTATATTTGAGCTCCTTTTTTTTTAATCCTGTCTATTCTAATCAGAGAAAGAAATGGCCGAAAAGTGGAGAGGAAAGAAAAAGCTTCTGTTTTTAAAAATATTTTTATAGTAGTTATTTTACCTTTAGGGACCCTACAACTGAAGAGGGTGGAGAGAATAAGGAAATAGACTTTTCATATCTGCTTTGTCTTCATAAAGAAACCTGCCACACAGATGAAACCAGTCTATGTGGCCAAACTGATTGATAGGATTTGCAAAGTGGGTAATTTTTAGCCTTTCCAGAATGCAAATAACTTGCTTGATATATTTCCATTTTCCAGCTATAAACAATCCAGCTGCCTGGAATCTTATTAGTACAGAAGCGGCTTTAAAAAAGCACCCTCGAACACTGGACTCAGCAGATCTTTCTCCTTTAAACTTACATAATGATATTCATATCTCCATTAGCAATTGAATCCAGGCATAACCAGGCTCAGTTACACAGCTGTATGTGACCGAGAAGCCCATTTTGTGTCACTTCTGCACACTCGTCAGCTGTTGACACCTTATTAGATGCACTGCATTTTTGCTTCACAATTCTTCATCTCCCTTCCCAAGGAATGGGCAGTCTACCAAACTCTTCCAGATCAATGCTTTGTTGTAAAGTGATAAATTTAAGAGAATTTTAACATGTCAAATTTGAAGCCAATTCAGTAGCCTTATTTGTTCCAAGACTCTTTAACCAATACTGTGATATAAAGCTAGCATTTGGGAAACTTGTGTAGTAAAGAACTGATTTGGAGACATGAAGATATTAAAATGGCAGCCAGCTAACTCTGTCTCTTGAGCCACTATGCGCTTTCTACCAATGGAAAGATGATGGAGGCAAATTAAGCCCCATTCAGTAGGCCTGCTGTCCAGTGGAACTTACTGAACTCATTTCCTCCTCTATCCCCAGCCCTTCTCCTGGCTACTCTGGTGATAACCAGGGGCATAGAGGACCTTCTCTTCTCCAGTAGGGTAGTTTCCTGTAGTCAGTAGCTCACATGAACTCCAGACTTTATTTTACATTACATCTCTGAAGTACTTGATCTGGGGAAGATTGACTTTAATTCCATTTTTATATGAAAGTGGTAGATAACAGCCGTCAATTTGTTTTTCTACATTTCCTCTAAGCTTATGTAATTTTGTTTTTAAATATTCTCTTAAATATACCGAGAATCTTCTATTCTGTCTCCTTTTCTAGAGGCTGATCTAACTACACTTACTGGCTGTTTTTCCAAGCTTTGTGTGAAACTTGGTAACACTGGGCCAGCAAAATGCAAAGTAGACTACAGTTTCAGGCAGAAAATCTCATCCAAAGAATCCAGCATGGATTAAACCTCCACCACACTATAGCTCTCACACGGGCTGAACATTTTCCTAAACTCTACCTGTGCAGACAGTGAAAGGTTCTCTGCCTTTGAAACTATGAGAATGTCTTAAATGACTAATTCTCTCTATAGTACGAGCTGCCAATGCATTATCTTAGTATATCAAGAAGGAACTGTCAGGCACACATTAGCAATGGTTTGTTAATGTCCCTGTCAAAGTTGTACCTACTTTCCTTCCTTGTTTTCTTCAGGGGCTTTCTTCCACTTTCATCTCATGAAACAAATGAATTGATTGTTCAGCTGGGTTAGCTTTCCAAGTCCATCTTTCCAAAATGAAAGGTTAGTCCCATAGACCACTGGGTATCCAGGGAAATTACTCTTTACCTCCTCATGGCCTGGACGGTAGGTGTTCCCAGATTAACTCTCTGGCAATTCTTAGTATGGATTTTGAATTCCAGACTTCTTTATAGGAGATGTATAAAAAGGAATTTGTAACATACAGAAATTATACTGCTCTTCCCAGTAAGGGACGGAAAGGACATTTTAAATCGTTACATTTTAGATGTTTTTGTGAACTATGAATATCTCCTTTTTCCTCTCTTCATGCTAACCTGTCTCTAGATAAAATCTCATTTCTTCATGCATCGGACCACAAGGCATGAAGAGGTAGCTCAGACCCACTGAGACCGTGTTCTGCATAATCTTTGAAAGGCTTCCATTTCCATTGAAAACAAATCCATGAGATAGAGGGAAAGTCTAGTAACGATTTTCCTGTTTGCTCCTAGTGACACAAATAAGTTTTAGGGATCTACCCAAGGGATAGGTCTACTCCAAAACTTAATTTTATAATTCTATGATTTCCCAAGGCATAATGTGACCCTACTGTCAGCTAGATGTCTTATCTTCAAAGAATGTAAGCTTTAAGGACTTCCCTTAAAGAACCAATCTAAAAATACTCCTAAAACGGCAGAAACTTTTCAAATTAGAAATTGAGTAATTTTTAAGAATCTTGAAAGAAATCATTCATTTGTCATGGTCTTTTTCTTTCATTGAGTTTTAAGAGTTTTAATTTAGAGTAGCATGCCAAGGAGGATGTCCTTGGACTTTGACTTAGGGGATCGTGCTTTGGCTTGGGAATAAGCACTGGCCTGCATGCCCAGAACCTAAGTGAAGGCAGTCAGCATCCTGGTATGAATCGGACCTAGCAGAAATGTAAATTACTTAAAAGTGCTTTAGAGTTCAGTTTTCTCAGTGACACCCTGGACCCTGGATGCTGCTGTCTAAAGTGCATTTGGTCCATGCAGTTCTATGTCTTCATATAACTGGGGCCTTGTGAGGTTGCAAGCAATGGGATAAGTGAGAAAGAAAGGATGCGTGGAGGAGTAAAATTTGAACGAGGCTAACGCAATGTTTTGCTGATAGATTACATTGTTAGGGAGCTGGTGGTTTGGGGGCATGGTTTTATCATTGGCAGCTTTTCAATGGAAATTGAAGGCATCTCTGTTAGGCAGATGTGAGTGCCCATGATCTTGTATTTATCAGTGCCAGACAGTGTACTGGAAAAGCAGGTACCCCAGTGAAACTGGTCTGTACTTGGTTTAACAGCTCCAACAGTTTCAAAATCCGTGGGGCTGCTTGTCCATAGACCCTGTTTACTGCATGCCTGTTCAAAAGTCATTTTGACGTCTAGCTTCGTTTTGCCTTTTTCCTTCATATTCCGTGGCTTTTTCTTACATTTCTCCCAGACCCAGATTTTTTCACCCCTCTGCATCACAGACAACCAAGTATCTCCCTTGGCCCCTCCTCCATCCCCTCATACCCTGTGCTCCATTCTCAGCCGTTTGGACAGGGAACCCCGCTGTCACCAAGGAGCCCATGTGAGACACACTGCTGTGACTGCCTCTTGTTAATGTCAGCATCACCTCATCACTTAGGCAAAAAGGAAAATCCATAAAAGATGGAAAATACGTCTCTTTTTCATTTTATTCTACTTTAAGAAGGTTGGCTGGGGTGGGGGGCATGTTATTCTAGGTCTTCAATTTCTCATAGATTTACCTTAAACTAAGGCCATTCTTTTGATAAATTTGTACATCAGACCGGATCACCAGCTATGATGCAGAAGGCTAAATTTTTGAATCTCAAGTAACTTTTTATGCTGCTGGACAAATCGACTTAATTCTGTGCAGGCAAACACTTTGAATCATAAGGCTTTTTATTGCCATTCCATTCTTACTACTACTCATGATTCAAGCATCTACCCCTGTTCTGAATCAGGACGTTGACACTTTGTGATTATTTTCAGATGAACAGTAAGTGCTACACTCTTGAAAGCACTTAAAGTGTGAGCATGTCCTAAATTGTCAACCATTTAACCTGGTAAAACATAGGCTTTTCTGTTTAATTATTAGACCAATCTGTAGATATAATCTGAAAGGGTTTTAGGCAGTAATGAAGACAGTTGGGAAAGGAGAAGGCAGTTTAAAGACATGAAACCTTATGTTACATGCCCTTCGATACTTTTAAGCATAATCTCATTGGATTCAGGTATTTTTCCCTTTGCTTAAAAATAGGTATTTCTAATTTGTTTGCATATTTAATTTTGTCAAAGCTGAGAAATGTTCATGAGTTTATAAATGTCATTTGCAACCAAATGAAGTATTTATTTTTAAAAAGAAAGGTTGAAGGAACTGATTTGTACATAATAAAAATGTGTATATTTTTTTTCCTCCTTGACAGTACTTGGTCACCATATCAAGTGTATTTTTGTACATAATATATATTGATTAGAAAAGTGTCAGTTGTCTATTCAAGAAAATTCTATCTCTGTGATAAGTTATATTTATCCTAATCTGTTGATACCTCCATTCACTTAAGAGATAGAATTATATTTTTTGGAATTTGCAGAGAATTGCATTCATGGCTTTCAATTGTAAATATGCTAAGGGTATTTTAATAAATCTGGGTTTCATGTCCATCTGGTGTGCAATGCAGATTTGTTTTCAGGTGGTGTATAAAGCAATATCCCCAACAGTAATGTGGAGAATACCAGTCATTTCTAGCTTGCATTTCCACTCAGGTACACTATTACTACTCTGCACAAGAGCTGGGTCTGAGTAAGTCTATCATTTTTATCTTCCTTTCTCTCCCATTTGTACTCTTATCAACTGTGGGGAACTTGGCCAGGCATTCAAGGGTAACAGCAAACACACACAACCAGCCCCACATTGTCTCAAGGCTTATCCAGAAGCAACATTCCCTGAATGTAAGTTGCCCAAGGACTGGGGCACAAAGATTGGTGACTTCAGGTTATGGGTTGAAAATAATAAACTAGAGAAACAGAATAGAAACATAACTGTATTCTTACTAAGCACAAGGTACATATTCTTTTCAAGGAATAATATGAAGCATGCAGGTATTTTGTAAACATAAAACCAAAACACTTTAAGCAAAACAGTGTTCTATTTAAATACATATGTGATTGTGTTATTTCTTTGGTGTTCCTGAATGCCATACACTCTAGAGTTCTAGATATTTGCTGAAATGTATTCCATTACATATAGCAATGTTTAGTGAACAGACATAGCTATTATCTAGGAAGACATTTCATCACTGCAAAATCTTCTAACTCAGTCATTGTGCTGCAAAAATCTTTGGACACTGAAGAAAATCTCAGTAAAACTGCCGAAGTTCAAGGGTATTGTTAAAAATCACATGCAGTGTTGGTCAACACTTCAAGACTAGAATCCAGATTTCTTGACACTAAGGCCAAAGCCCTTCCCACTGATGGATTCATTCATTAGACTGCTCTCTCCTATGAAATACTCCATCATGGAGAAATATTCTGGAACTATTTTTTTTAAAAGAAAGATCCAAATGCTGCTAACATTTTTAACAAGCATTATTGGGGTTTTGTTGTGAATTACAGCACCTATATGAGGGTAGAGGCCTGAGTATCGTAAGGACCTAGGAATAAATACCAGCACAGCATAGGAAGCATCTCATCTCTGGTCTAACCAATACTTATCCTCCCTTGCTTAGTTAAGGAGCATACATTTTTGCCTGCTCTTTAAATAGTCTACGAAGCTGATGGTTCAACGTCTGCCTTAGTATGTTTTGTGTTCCTGTAACAGAATACTTGATAATGGGCAATTTATAAACAGAAATGTATTGTCTAGCAGTTCTGGAAACTGAGAAGTCCAATATCATGGCACCAGCATCTTGTAAGGACTTTCTACATCATCACATGGCAGAAGGCAGAAGGCCACAGAGGCAAGGGGACCCTAGCTTTGTTCACAACAGCATTAATCCCACTCATGAAGTGGAGCCTTTATCGCCTCATCACCTGTTAAAGATCCCATGTCTTAGTACTGTTACAACAGCAATTAAACTTTAATACGAGTTTTAGAGAAGACATTCAAATCATAGCACAGGTTATAAATCCCTGAGGCTAAATATTCTCTAGATCAGCTGCCCACTTTCACTTTGCTGTGATTGTCACTATGGAAATAAACTTTAAAGCTCTCCACTGACCCTTTGTGCACGGTAGATGCTGCTCAGTCGAAATCTTCTGAAGGTAATGTTTGCTTCATGTCCATCATTGTGTGATGATAAATGCTAAGAAAATAACTATATTAGTTATTAATTTCTATGTAATAAAATACCCCGAAATATAGTGCATTAAAGCAACAATGTTACTTATTTCTCTTGGTGTTTGTTGATCAAGAATTTGAGAAGGGTTCAGCTGGGCAGTTCTCACTTGGTGTCTCAGGGTTGTAGTGATATGTTTATTAACTCATCTGTCATCATGTTCATAAACATGTTGAGATATCTGTGAACATCTAAAAAAACATTGAGTTTGTCATCATCTGAAAACTGGATGGCTTGAGTGGGACTGGAAGTTGCACTTCCCAGTTATCTCACTCAGCTGGCAAGCTGGTGCTGGCTGTAAGCTGGAAGCCTCAGTTCCTCTCCACATGGGAGTCTTGAGTGGTCCATAATAAAATGGGTCATGTTTTTTTCTGACCAAAGCACAGAAGCTACACCCAGTCACTTTCATCATATTAAAGCTATTTACAAATGGTCTGCCCAGATTGGGGAAGTGAGGAACTAGATTCTACCTCTTGATGTAAGAATATAAATGCCACATTGCAAGAGCATGTACGATGGATGTATATTGAGATCTTTGGAAAATACAATCTGTCACAGCTGCTTTCCCATTTTTTCTATCTAGTCTTTCTCCTCCTTCCCTTGTTATTTTTGTCCTAAATCTAGGTTTCAGATTTCTTTTTCAAAATTTTTTCTACTTTTCCCCTTGCACCACGACTGTGAGGACTCCCAAGCCATGTAGAGCTGTACCTTTAAAGAGTCCATTAAACCTCTTTTTCTTCGTAAATTACCCAGTCCTGGGTTTTTCTTCATAGCAGTATGAAAATTGATTAATACAATCCACTACCTAGAGTAATCAAAATTACAGAAAGTAGAATGGTGGTTGGTTTCCAGGGGCTGGAGGAAGAGGGAGTAGGGAATTACTGTTTCATGCGTTTGGAGTTTCAGTTTGGGAAAGATGAAAAGGTTCTGGAGATGGATGGTACTGATGGCTGCACAGCCATGTGAATGTATTTAATGCCCCTGAACCGTACATTTAAAATATACCACTTGAATCATTTTTATGTGTATTTTACCACAATAAAAAATAGTGTTTATGTATTAAGGGCTTCCTATATACTAGGTACTCTATTAAGCATTTTTTATGTATTTAATACTCATAATATTACAAGATAAAGAGTATTACTATTCCCATTTTACAGATTTTAAGAGTGAGTTTTGGAGAATCTAGTAACTTTCCCATGCAGTTGGTGAGTGGACAAAACAGAATTCCAACGCTCAAGAGAAACATTCTCAACCACAATACTGTCCGTCTCTTAAGTCACAAACTCAATTAGCTGATTCAGGAGAAAGAGAAAGGTATAAAGATTCTGAGGTCTTGTCACATGGGTGGTCTTATAATTTCATTCTTGAGAGACAGTAAAAATGTTCCATTTAACAAGATGCTTCTCAGGCATTGTTTTGTTTTTTGAGATGGAGTTTTGCTCTTGTTGCCCAGGCTGGAGTGCAATGGCATAATCTCGACTCATTTCAACCTCCGCCTCCTGGATGCAAGCGATTCTCTGCCTAAGCCTCCTTAGTAGCTGGGATTACAGGTATATGCCATGACACCTAGCTAATTTTGTATTTTTAGTAGAGTCAAGGTTTATCCATGTTGGTCAGGCTGTTCTCAAACTTCCGACCTCATGTGATCTGCCTGCCTCAGCCTCCCAGGGTGCTACAATCACAGGCATGAACCACCACACCGGCCCATTATTGCTCTTTCAAACATTTGCTTACTTTTTGTCAAATACCTAGCCCAAAAGCATTTACAGCCACCAGCGCTTCTGTAAAAAGCAAAGAAAGTAACAGAATACATTTGTATACATATATCCTTTAAGAACAGCTAATATACATCCAACACTTTCTTCCTCCTATAGGTGGGAGGAAGCAGGGTATAATTCAGGCAAAAAGCGAGCAGGAGCTGCTGACAAGCACTTGAGGGACAGTAGGAGACAAAGAGGAACAGCCATCTAATCCACCTTTAAGTTTTTATCCTAAAGTAACCTCGTAGTCAGTCTGCAAATATATCTGTCAAAGTAGAACAATGTCCTAGCTACGAAAAAAAATGTTTAAAGAAAATTGGATCATGCACTGCCCAGAATTTCCCAGCACCATCTATCAGTATTGTGGCTATGTCCGTTGCTTGATCAGAACCAAAATGAGACCCAGTTGGAGCTGATTCAGGATTATTTTGAAGATATTTGCCACTGAAATTAAATCTTCTGTTGAAGGAACCACAACAGATAGTCATCCTCAATTTTCTTATGCTGGCCAGAAATGGAAAGAAAAATCCTTCAAGAATCAAAATGCCCTCCCTCATACTTCAAGTTCTAGAAAACCTAAGAGTTATCAAATTATTCAATCACTTTGCCTGACCTCCAAGACTTCCAGCCTAGTTCCAAAGATCAGAATGGTTTGGCTACCTCTGGGGAAACTATTATATTTGGAGGGATTTGTCCCACAGAAGAATTTTGGCCTCAGTCATGGGAAGACAGTGCTCAATTAGCAAGTCAGAACACCGCTGCTCTTTAGCTTCTACTTCTGATTTAGTGTGAGAGGTAGGAGACAATGAAGGGTCCCCATCAAGGGCTCTCCCAGTGGCCTATTACAAGCATCTCCAAAAAGATCCTTTTTCTGATGTAACACCTCCCTCATCCCACTGGATCCATCTAAAATTCAGTAGCAACTTAGATTAAAATGGTCTCCTAAAATGCACATTTTTATTTGTGTCCTCAAATGAGAAATCACGACCCTATAAAAACCGTAGGGGCAGCACAACATAAGGAAAAATCATGGCCTTTGTGATCAGACCCAATCTTATACCCAAGCTCCACCACTTACTAACATGGTGGTCTGATGCAAGTTATAGCACTTCAAGCCTCAGATGCCTCATCTAAAAATAGGAATTTAAAAGTATCTCCAGTGGATCATATAAGATGGTCAGGGGCTCTTTCTTCATGAACACACACAAGTTTGCCAATGGTACAATGAAATAATGCAACAATTTGTGACACAGCAATAAACATCATTTTCTTCTTTCATTTAAAAAACAGTGTCGCAAGTGGCATAAGGTTAGAGAAAACCAGGCCCATGCATGTTTGTGTCTGTTCACAATGTCAGGCTTTGATCAGTGCCATTTCAATCACAAAAGCCACAGGCTACGTGGAGTTTCCAAGGAGGCAATTCTTAGTATTTTCTGTTCACTCGGTAGTCAAAACGAAGGGCACACAGGTTCAAGCCACTTCACAAGTCAGTTAATATTGCAAACCATACATAATAGCATATATGTTATGGGTTAAATATCTTAAAACAAAGTAATATTTAACA